ACTGAGTTTAGCTCATGTCAGGGGTGTGTGAGCGCCTTGTGTGAATCAGCATATAATTTAGTCGATGAAGCACTGCCATTAGTACCCTTCACTTGTCAAGTCAAGGCCTCGCTGTCACTCGATAGATCACCCCACCCAATCTGGTTTCCACGGTAACTCTGTATTGTAGCACTGTGTTGTGGAATCTTTGGTGAGCGCTTCGTCAGAGTGTTCGTCTTCGCAAGGGCCGCCCACCCTCCGCCACCTCCAGCATTTGTCGCCAGCGGAGCAGCAGATGCTCTTCACATCCTGTGCAGAGAATTCAGACTGATTCAGACGTGAGCAATGGATGAGGACCAGTGAGAATGCTGACAGCCTGAAATTATGTTGCTCAACTGCTTCAGTGTTCACCCAGTGACTGTCTGGAACTTCTGAATTTATGCATGACTAGTTTTTTTTTTTCTTTTTCTGCATAAGCATTTTTCTGTTCATATTTTAACTGCAGAAGTGTAGTCTCCCGAATCCTGTCGCTTTTGCCGCTCTGTGCAAACAGCAGAAACAGATTGCTGTCTGATTGCTGCTCATCTCTCCCTCCACCCTTCCAGTCCACAAAACCAACCATCCTGCCTTCCAGCTTTCTTCATCTCTTCTAAACCCTCTCAAATGTTGTTGTATTACTTCACACTTCCCCCACAATCCTTGGCTCCCTCCCTCCCCCCAGCTATTCCACCCAGCTGTGGCCATCTGGCTCTCGTTCTTCAAACTGCCCATCCACAGTTTGGTGAAGCCAGGGTGGAGAACCACACATTAAAAACAAGCACTCCCAAGGCTCTACATGTGTTGAAGTTAGGCACACATGGCTCAAGTTTTTTTTTTTTTTTTCTGATTTGGAAAACATGGGAGATTCCACATAAAACAGCTGTACTCTTAAGTTCTATCTCTGTGAGTTCAGACAGCTCACAGATTGTACACATTTTACTCATAATAATGACAATCCTGAAGAGGATACCAGGGTTATGTCATTTTTGTTTTCATAAAGTCATAGTTTGACAAACTTCCTCATCTGCTTTTTTGGTAGGAGACAATGTGAGCCAGTAGCTGTTTAATTTAACAACAAACAGTCCTACATAACCTCCAGTAAACCACAGCTGCTTTATTTTTTACACTTTGTACACTTTAAACAAATTCATAAATACTGAATATGTGATGAATGAGAACTTTTACTTTGTTTAGAAGTGTTAGGGCTACATTTACAGCATTGTGGGTAATGACGACACCAGGCTTTGACAGGAAAAACAAATGCATGTGATTTGTTTTTCTTTTCCGTCATGATTTTTTTTATTTATTTTTTTTTTACAATGTGTTAGGAATGCAATGGTTTATCAGTGAACTATTCTTTTAGTTAGTGAGGTTTAGAGGTTCTAAAGGGTGTATTTTATCACAGTGAAAAAAAAGAAGTAAGTAGACCCTTTGGAGTTATCAATGTATAAATTTATCCTAAAATATGGTCCTAAGTTACAAATAAATACATAAGATTATGTATATATGGTTTCAAAAGTTATATTCATGGAAGCTTATTGAAGCCATCATTTAAACATTTATGCTGTCCATTGGAAAAAAATCCTTTAATGACATCAACAAAACCGCGCTGGAGTCAGGAGATAGCAAACCTTATAAAATTACTCAAACTTTGTTGGCTATCCTAAGATGCATCAGTTGATGTGAGCCATGCATTGCAAAAAAGGAAATCAAAGATTTAAAATCAAGATTTGCTAATTTGTCATCTTAACAAGTTTAGATATTTATCACTTCACAGTCAAACAAATTATCATCCCAGTGGTGAAGTACGGTGGAGGAATCATCATGATTTGGAACTTTTTTGGTGCCTTTTGCACAGCTCGCTGTCACTGAGAAGGTAAAGAATTGTCTTACAGGATAATATCACTGTGTCTGTCTGCTAGCTGAAGCTCAGTAGTTGAGAGATGCAGCTGGACACTGACTACAAACATCTTTCCCAGACATCTGAAGAATATGGCTGAACTGAGATAAAATGGCTCAAAATCGCTCCTGAAAATCTGATGTGCAGCTACAGGAAATGCTTGTTTGAGGTAATTGCTGCCAAAAGAAGCTCGACCAGTTATCAAATCCAAGGATTCACTGACTTTTTCCACCAAAACACTGGGGATATTTAATTGGCGTGTTCAGAATAGACAGGAAAGATTATATGGGAAGATCAGATCACATTTTAGGACCAACTATTGCAGAAAACCAGGCAATTCAAATGAGCTCACACCATTTTTCTTGCCACAAAGTATACTTTTTTTTAAAAAAATCACTCTAAGCAAGAAGATTTTAAAAAATTATTTCCCCACAGTGTTTTCTAAAACTCCAAACACTTCATATCACAGCTTAGCATTTGATGCATTTCATTTTTAGTGCATAAATCAACCTGCAGAAGCTGTTTTTGCACTGCAGACTTTTCCAATTTAACATCTTCATCTAACTTACAACTACCTTCTCATGTAAATGTAATGAAACATTAGCACCTTCATATAAAAAACAACGTTGAAAATGACAGCAGACCAGAAAATGCTCTGCAGTAACGACATTTCCCGTTCTCAAAGATAATCAGATCAGGTATCCTCTCCACTGAGCTCCTGAATGCACATTGCTCGGGATCAACAGAGAAATCTCTGTGAAAACAACCAGAGAGGAGATAAATCTTTGTTGAAATGTAGATGTTATGTATGGAAAACGGAGCGAGAAGAAGAAGTGCTGAGATGAATCACTTTGATATAAGCCAGGCTGCCTTCCAGAGGCTTCGACAGAGACAGCTCATAAATCTGACAGTGAGACCTAACAGCCCAAAGTATTAAGTCATACCCAAAATGCACCATTCTAGTAAGAACTGAATGTCTCGCTTGCTCAAATATTTATAAGTTCTTTTACATCAGTACCCCCCACCTTATACTGCATGAGTGCACATTCAGGAAACCTGTTGTACAACATCTGTGATTATGGAGGTTACAGTTAAGTAATACTCAAAGGTTTGAAGCTCGTCCTGTGTTATGATCCACCACACTTTGGCGCTGTTTCACAAGTGTGGAAAGTATGTGGAGGCTTTTTCCACAGGGGGAGAGATTGGTGACTCAGTTACACTTAGTGTTTTTGCTGTTTTCTTCCTCTGTGTCACCAAAGCGCTGTTTCATGCTTTCAGCCCTCTGGCACAACTTGTTCCTTGAGCCCTGTGACAGGAATTGTCAGACCGCAGTCTAACACACAGTAGCTGCTGTCCAGACCAGAGCCGTGAGTAGGTTTAGTGGAACCAGCCGCTCCTGCACCGTGACATGACCGAGACAACGTGCTGTGGTCTGGGTTACTGTCCCACCTCCCTTTTTTGTTGCACTTTGTTTTTGAAAACATTTCATTTCTGGGCAGAGAAATAAACTTACCACAAATGAACCACAAAGACCCTACGAGGACACATTAGTATGTACCCAGGTTAATTAAACCACAGACTTTTTTCTTAATCCAGATTTAAAAAGTACAATAAGTTGGCTTTAATTACACATTTATGAAGAAGTGCCGTACATGTAAAGTTGCTGGCATAAAAAGAAGTCTTCTTTAAATTCAGTATGTCTTTTTTTTTAAGATGTTAAGTGGAACATATTTACATTTGTTTGTTTTGTTGTTAGTATGTGTAAATTATAGATCTAACTTTGAGATCACATTGCCCAATATTGTTAACATTTTTGGTTCAAGGGTGCTAGAATATGATTATAAAACACTGTATGTGCATTTCACGATGAAAGAGTTTTTACTACCTAAAACATTCAAAACACTATTCATTCTGTCCTCACAAACAAAATGAAGACTTATTCTGATGTGCTAAAGATACTTAAAGCAGGTCATAGTGCTAACCTTTGTTTTTATACTAGAAAAGAAGTGTCATGTTTTCAAATTATCATTGCAAATATCCAAAGAGATCTTGCAGACTGACTTCTTGGAATAAGCAAAAGCCACATTTTTTGTCCCTGTCTCACTCTCTGAGCTAAACCAGACAGATGACAAATGGAGAAAGGAAAAGCAGCATGATGGATGAGGTGCAGGTGGAGGGGAAAGAGACAAAAGTCGAAGAGAGGCTTCAGTTAAAAACGTTTGCACAAAACTTTAAATGCATTAAATGTTGATTTGTCAGCATGGTACAAACGCACTTCTCTTTGAAACATTTTTTTTCCCTGTTGTTCAGCAATGACTCAACGGACTCTGAAGAAAAAAAAAAAGACAATTGTATTTCTCAATATGGACAGAAATACATAATGCTGAGCACCTGTTTTGGCAGCACAGTCTGCAGGAGTTAAAAAGTTTCACTTGTCCTCATTCGTCATCAAGATGATGTGATAAACTCCAAGGTTGATTATAATGCAAAAAATACACATACTGCTTTACCGGGAGTCAACAAATTTAATAATTAAATAACTATTTTTTTTGATTGTTTTGCTTCGTTTGTATTTGTTTGTTTGCTTAAAACATTATTCTGCTTTAAAATGCATACATGTAGGCCAGGTAGTTTATGCATTTTTGACTGTCTGAAGAAGCCGACCCCAGAAGGCTTTACCTTCATTAGATTTTCTAAATATTTAGTCTTCTGATATTTCCATGTAAAGATTTGCATTGAATTAGTTTAGGCTCTAGTCCTTTTACTGTCTCCTCTGCCTAGTCTCTCTCTATCCAGGTTGGTAGGACCCTGAGAATTTTTTTAAGTCTCCAAGTTGCATGCATTTCAGGAGTTCATTTTTCTTTCCAACTCGATGTTTTTGTTTTTTTTTTGTCCTGCGGCTTATTTCGTTTCTTGAAAATGATGTGAAGAGTGCAAGTATTGCTCACACTCGGGCGGATTCATCCAAGCTCCCCTAAATCCCCTCCCCTTCAACAGGCTGCAGCGGTGCGTCTGAGTATAAAACCAGTGCGCTCCCCTCTTCTCAGTCTGGCGCACCAGCTGCGAGGCGGTAGATCGGACCGCCTGTAAAAGCAGCCAAAGGGAGCTGAGACTAAGGGACGCAAACCAGATCTCTCCAAGCTTTAGTTCTACACTCGTTTCTTTAAAAAAAAATACTTTGTTCATTTTCTTCTTTGTATTTAAATCCTTATTCTTCCACAAAAATGACTGGTAGCCCATTGACAGGGTTGCTGGTTGCACTGTGCGTAAGCAGTGCAGTCCACGGCTTGCCAAAGACCAAAAGACAAACTGGCCAGTATCAGGTGTATCCTGACCTCCAGGACGCAGCGGCTGTTACTCCAGGTTGGTACAAGGACTTCCAAGGGCATTTTAAACATATTCTGAACGCCCTTTAATGTTTAACTTTACGCACTAGAAGTTGATTTTCTAGTGCGCGTTATGGTAAATGATACCTAATGATTATTGTTCAGCAATAATTTGGTGTAATTTATCTTTCGAGATGAGCCAAATCAGCCCAATGGCAATTTTCCTTGTCAAAATATTTGATAATGACCGTCATGTAATAATATTCCTATCATACTATGGTTTCTAGCCAGGTGTGAGGAAAACGGTCGCTCATACAGACTGAACGAGCAGTGGGAGAAACCCTACCGTGGTAGTACACTGGTGTGCACCTGCAACGGAGCAGCAGGCATCAAGTGTAAAACTAAGCCTCAAGGTCAGTGAGAGCCCAACCGGTGCCTCTCCCTAGTGTGTAGTGTTTCAGGACTTTTGTGTTAATACCAGCAAGTAAAAAAAAAAAAAAAAAAATTAAAGTCACACCACGAGTAAAACAAAAGACCTTTGAGTGAGATATCCACTTGTCCACTTGCGTAAAGACTCTTGGTGCGTCTTTACGCACCAAGAGTCTTTACGCACCCACAAGCAGGTTCACAATAACAGCGTCTTAACCTTTTGGTGTTTCCTCTGTTTTTCTCTCAGTGGAGGAGTCCTGTTATGATAAGCACAATGACCGGACATACCGAGTCGGTGAAACCTATGAGAGACCAAAGGACGGAATGATGTGGGACTGCACCTGCATCGGTTCTGGTCGAGGCAAGATCAGCTGCACCATCGCAAGTGAGTTACTGGGATATCTTTTTTTTTTTTTTAATCACTTATATTAGACATTGTAAAATAGCTCTAAATAAACCAGTTAGAGTAGTTTTCATTGAGTTGAGTCCCCTGTTTCTTTCATACACTGGGATGTATGTTATATTTTCTCATAAGTTTAATGTGTAAATAGATTTTCTTTGTAATGGATATGTTCATAGTTCATGGAGGACATATTCTAAACCAGCAAATCTCCTACATTTTTGTCATTCACAGATCGCTGCCATGAAGGTGGGAGGTCTTATAAAATCGGTGACACTTGGCAGCGTCCTCATGACACTGCTGACTACATGCTGGAGTGTGTTTGTCTCGGAAATGGCAAAGGAGAGTGGACATGCAAACCTGTGGGTAAGTACAGAATGCAGGGCTGCCAGGACTTCAACACTTTCCATATGAGTTCTGGAATGCAGATAAATGTGAAACATTGCAACCTAAACATTCCACTTGTATATTCACCACACACACACTTACTGGCAGGGTAATTTCACAGAAGCATGACCGTTTGATACCACAGTAAATATTTGACATCAGTCCAGACAAACAAGATAAGTGAGTGAGAGAGCATGTCTCTCTGTTTTGTCCATTTTACACCACAGCTATTTATTTTCACTTGATTTATTTCTCCTGGAAAAACATCTGCTGGGATTTAGATTTTTCGATTCTGTGATCGTATATCTTGTGACAAAGCTGCAGATGCAATAAATTAAGATTCTGCTGTGTTTTTTCCGCAGCTGAGCGTTGCTACGACAACAATGCTGCATCATCGTACATCGTGGGGGAGACCTGGGAGAAACCGTACCAAGGATGGATGATGCTGGACTGTACCTGCCTGGGAGAGGGAAATGGACGCATCACTTGTACCTCGAGGAGTAAGCAGAGCATAAACATTCACATTAAAAACACTTTTAAATGCTACCTGACAACCAGCTGCTGACCACTGTTGTGCTCCAACCAGACCGTTGCAATGACCAGGACACAAGGAAGTCCTACCGTATTGGAGACACTTGGACAAAGACTGACACAAGTGGACAAGCTGTGCAGTGTCTGTGCTTAGGGAATGGCCGTGGAGAATGGAAGTGCGAAAGACACAACGCAGGCCGATGTGAGACTCCAAATCTAAACCTTACTTTTGCTAACTGTGCTCACCAAATCTCAATATCTTTAACCTGATCTTGTCAGTGTTCACGTCCCTGACACTCATCAATATTTCAATTCGTTTGGTGGTAAACAGCCACAGGTGCTGTCGTGCTGACCCCCACCCGTTCTCAGACTCGGCAGCCTGAGCTACTCACTGAGGGAACCTGCCGCACAGACTCTGGAGCCTACTACTATGACGGACAACGCTGGGTCAGAAACCAGGGCAGCAAGCAGATGCTCTGTACCTGCCTGGGCAACGGAGTCAGCTGTCAGGAATGGGGTGAGTACAGGAGAAAGGGAAGAAAGTGGAATTTCATAACAATTTTAGAGGTGAAACCTTTCAGATGTGATAAAGTGATCTGTTTCTAATATGACATGAGATGAGAAGTTTTTGTCATCCTTCCCTCTCTTGTTTGTGCAGAAGCCAAGAACCAGGTGTACGGCGGAAGCTCTAATGGCCAGCCGTGTGCATTCCCTTTCGTCTTCATGGGGAAAACCTACTACTCCTGCACCTCAGATGGACGCACAGACGGGCAGCTCTGGTGTTCTACAACTTCAGACTATGAGAGAGATCAGCAGTACTCTTTCTGTACTGAAAAGAACGGTGAGATTGAGGAACAGGGATGCAAAATTTGAGTGAGTTTTGTTGGTGCAACCCAGTCATTGCTGTCTACTACTAAAATAATAAGGATTATATGTAATGACATAGTGTGGTAGTATTGTAAATAATGGTGAGCAGCTCAGAGCTGTGCCATAACTAATGTGTCTCTCAATTCCAGCCATTGTGACGACACGAGGTGGGAACTCCAACGGTGCCCTCTGCCACTTTCCCTTCCTCTACAGTGGTCGTAACTACACCGACTGCACCTCTGATGGGCGTCGTGATGGCATGAGGTGGTGTGGTACCACCCACAACTACGACGCAGAGCAGCGCTTTGGATTTTGCCCCATGGCTGGTGAGTGTGTGTGTGCTGTTTAGTTTCGGTTTTTACCTTGTTAACATGCCGATATGGTGTTTTTTGTTTTTTTTTACATGCTAGACGCATCATAAGAAAACTACACTGTCAACACCTCCTTGAAACTGAAATGTACCAATAACTGTCTCCAAAACATGGATTTAGACTTCCACAGTTTCATATGTAACAAACCTACATTTACACTTCCGGTCAAATGTTTGGGATCACCTGCTAATATCCCCCATTGGACCTCAGATAGGTGCAATGAATATACACACACACACAAGGTATTATATCAAATCAATATATGAGCTACTAAAACTCAGCGTACAGAATGGCAACGTGAGACATATGTAAACTTTTATAATAGAAATATTGCTAATATGATAGAATAATTGGAATTCTTACCTGTTTAGTTTTAAAAAAGTAATAATTCAAAATATTGTATTATATTAGTAATATATATATATTTTTTTATAAATGTGACATTTATTTGCAATAAAAAATAGGTAAAAGATTTCCCTTTACAAATATACATCATGAATTGCTGCATGTTGAAATCCCCACCCTGAAGAGAGAACGAGTCCTGTCCAGTCGAAGTCCTCACTTCTGAAGTGCTCACTGTATGTATGTACTTTAAGAATAACCACATTAAAATAGTTATTAAAAGGTGTCCAAAAGAAACATTCAGTGATTGTGTAAACAAATATATCCTAAAACGTCTTGTGTCAACAACAATCTTGCAATACTATTATGTCAGCCCCGCTGTTCCTTTGTAACAGGATCTGTATTGTACATACATCCACTAAGTAACTAACGATTATCCTAAATATAGTCACAGTATTGTAATATCTTACAGGTGAAAGGTGATCAACACAATGGTGATTAGAGTATCAGTAGACTGCACAAAAGTCTGGCATCTTCACTCAGCAATTCCTGTAGGAATCATATTCAGCGCCAACAGCTGTTCCTGAGTGTACAACAATGGAGCCGTGGCTCAACGGCTCGTCAGATACGGACTTTAAAAGTTCGTAAAAAGTAAAAAACAGATTAAAAAAACTTCCTTGGCATCTCCATCATATTCATGCTAATCTAGTACAACTACGTGAATATAATAATAAGACAAAAAGAAAAACAAAACAAAGAAAATAGCTAAAAATATAGAACGTAGGTAGGAGCCGCTGCAACTGGCTGCCATTCTCACAGCCAGCAACAATTTGTATTTTATTATTTTGTATTTTATTTGTATTTTTGTAATTTGAATTGTAGCCATATTAATAACGTTTGTAAGAAACCAAACCGTTTGTAAATCCATCAAGATTTCAACAAGATAAAAGTATTTACGTTTGCGCAGATCACTCACCTTCCTTCACATACCACAGGTTCCGCCGCAGAGCTTGCCCGCCGGTGATGCCATTCGAGACTCCGCCTTAAGACATCTAGCCTTTATTAACCATATCTATGCATGGCAGGAGAAGCAAACATTTCATAGATCTACACATTCTAGAGGAAGCAGCAATGTCAAGACAGGAAGGGATTATTTTCATAGAAAAAAAAAACATTCAAAATATGTAGTATATACAGAGACTGAGCTTTCAGGAGTTTATTCAATTACCGGAGAGAGACTTTCAGTGTCTGAAAAGGTCAAGCAATAAAGTATGTTCTCCTCTTGAGGAATTTTTGAACAATGGCTTTGACATGATTCCAAATTTTCATACATGCAAGCTGTGTAATATACAGTCATAATGTTACTGTGGTAGAGTTTTTGGGGAAATATGCTTATTTATTTTTAAGATAAACAGAAACCACTCTCATATTTGTTCACTAAATCTAAAGCTACAGGCCAAAGATGGTAAACCTCACATAGAGAGGGTTCAGTTATTGTCGTAACATGGTGTAGAACTCTTGTTTTTAAAGCGTATGTAGTTACATTAAATGCTTTTGTCTTTATCTCATCTTGTTCTCACAGACTGTAATGACTGGTTGCAAGGGTCACTTGTAGACAATTGGGGACTAAATAACTGGCGCTGAGAATGGTCATGGGAGAATAATGACTCTATTGGGGCTGTTACATAACAGTTACATTACATACACACTCACTAGGGGAGACAATAGGCTGAACCGGACCAAGGAAAACTCCCAGTCTGGAAAAACACGCAGCACCATGTAAATGTACACACATGATGTGTTTTTTAATTTGTCTGTCTTTCTTCAATTAGCCCATGAAGAGGTATGCACCACCAACGAAGGAGTGATGTACCGAGTCGGCGACAAGTGGGACAAACGCCACGATGTCATGGGCCACATGATGGAGTGCACATGCCAGGGCAACGGGCGCGGGGAGTGGAACTGCATTGCTCACTCACAGCTGCGAGGTCAGTGAGCTAACTCCACTTGGGCTTGACTCAAAACCATTTAGGCCTTCTAGAAATCATCTTGTCAAAGAAGTCAGATTATGTAACGCTAAAGCCTGAAAGGTGCATTCCTTTCTCTCTTTCCAGATCAGTGTATTGTCGATGGCTTGACCTACGAAGTAAACCAGGAATTTTCCAAGCGCCACAATGAGGGCTACATGATGAACTGCACCTGCTACGGACAGGGACGTGGACGCTGGAAGTGTGACGCTATTGGTGCGTTCATGTCTCGTTTGCTCGACTGTTGTGGGAATAAAATGCTCTGCAGCTGAGATTGCAGCCCCACACTCCTCTCTCCCACCTGCAACTCTTGTGTTTCCTTTGTGTTTTCTGCAATAGATCAGTGTCAGGAGCCACAGACCAGGATGTTCTACCAGATTGGAGAGACATGGGACAAAGTCATCCACAGCATCCACTACCGCTGTGTGTGCTACGGAAACGGAAATGGAGAACTGAGATGTGAGCCCATGCAGACATACCAAGGTAAAAAAACAGAATCTTTTCAACATCATCAGTTTTTGGCAAATTTGCTTTTGCAGAGTTCACATGGCCTCTGCTTAAAAATGGACAATGAAATGTCACATGGATAGCACTTAGACTGTTGACTGGTGTTTTTTAAGTGTTGTTATATATCAGAGAACAACAAAAATGAACTAGAAATTAAACAGAAGAATTTAAGCAGAGCCACACTGATGTAATTCTTGTTAAAAAAAAATCATATCTTCTCCTGAGTCAAATCTGAATATATAACCATGATACATATATTTTTTTTAATTTGGCGTAACATGAAAGTTCAAAAACCATCTATAATTGAACTAACTCAGCAATAGTTATTTGTGCATTGTATGTTGTGCAGTACAAATGACTAATCTGGCATGACTTTCCATGGTGCCCATTTGCTAAAATGCAAGCAAATACAGGCTGAAAAGTTCAAGTTAAAAACCAGCCTAAACCTCAGCACCCCTCTGTTTCTAAAATTAATCTGAGACTCACTGATAGGATTACATAATTTTAATCCTAAATTTCTGCACAATACAAGTAAACGTATGCAGAGCAAAAAAAGAAACTGTATTCATTAGTAAAGAAATATATTGTTGAGTTTTGTTTTCATTTCTTTCTAATGCATCTAAGTCCTTTCATGCAGCTTTTCCACCGAGTTCTCCAGCTGTTTAATTATGTTTGCTGTTCTTGTTCAACTCCCCTACATTACTGACTTCTCTCCTCTCACCTACCTCTATCCTCCCATCACACATCACTGAAAAGAAAAGTGCACTTGCCAAGTTGGCGGAGGGTAGCGGGGGTACGAGGTTTTTCTTGACTTTGAAGTCTAGCAAATGGAGAAGTGTTGGCCAATCATAGCACCCCTGTCTTCCCTTTGGTCTTTGTAGTCGGAGGGTTTTTTTTTCCTCCCCCGCGTGGTGCTATTGAGTGATGTTTTGCTGACCTGCCAAAGGGGAAAGGGTTGTAATGCTCGGGAAGGGCAGGGGCATTGGAGGTAGTGACTTCCCGTCTGCAGTATCTCCCTCTGTTTGGGTAAAAGTTGCCCAACGTGGCACTTTGTACTGCAGCACATTGTGAGTTTCGAATCAAACATTGACCTAAAAAGTTGCAACATTTTTCTCTCCATCATTGGTTGCAGAGGAAAGTGTGTTAGTGTGAAGCTATGAGTGTTCTTCAGGGAACACAGGCTAGGTGAACTGTGATGAATATAATACCCTGGTGTTATGTCAAACTGTAAGATGTCAGTGGGTGTTTGAGCTGGTTTAGCATCGTCTGGTGGTTTGCTTCTTTCCCATAACGATGAATCCTGCTGACAGAGCTCACCAATAAGTAGCCAATTTTCACCCACGCTCCCTACAAGTAACACTGTTGTATTATGTGCAAGACTTTTTCTCTGATTGTTAATAGAACCTTTGCTCTCCTGTTCTCTCCTGATGTCTTCCCCTAAATCTCATCATCCACCTGCTGTGTCAACTCAGATGGCCACCGACCCGTCCAGGTCATCATCACAGAGGCAGGAAAACAGCCAGACTCCCATCCCATCCAGTGGAACCCGCCTTCATCGGTTCACATTACCCAGTACATCCTTAAATGGAGAATTGTGAGTTGCACTTTTAGTTCTGAATACAAATAGCAAATGTAAGTGAGTTCTATTTATTTATTTACTTATTTTCTTAAAAGAGGTTTTTAAAATCACTGGCTGGTAGCATTAGCAGCAGTGTGCAAACAGTCTGAATGAGGGTGAAGTGCTCATGTTGTCTGAAGTTTGATGAACAAACAAGGCGATGAGAGACTCGTACATGAACTCCCCCTTTACAGTCTGTACACACAAACACAGTTTTCCAGCAGATTCCAACATAAACATCCCTCTCCCTGTGATTTTTTTTTTCTCAAATATCTTTTTCACTTTGAAGACCTCAAAGACTGAAAGGCTGGTTGAGATGTTTAATTGAAGTTAAACAGATTTCCTCTTGACTGTATATTTTGGACAGCAAAGCCTTAATCTGGTTCTCCTGCTTAGAAAGTTTGTAGTTTTCCGGCAGTGCAAAGCCAGTCTAAATACTCCTAATGCAGGATGTTGTAGTCAGTGGGTGTGAGCCTTGTCCAAAATATACAGGATACCGCGTAGAGTCCTAATTTCCAGAATTAATTATTGCCTCTAGTAGATTCTCTCTTTGATTGCTAAAATAATCAAATTAACATATTGCCATCAACAAACAAGATTATCTGGTTGAGAAAACAATCTCACCACAATGTCCGTTCAGTAGTTCTTGTGGAGCATTTAGTCATAACATGTTCTCCATTGACAGATGGAGTTTGTCCAGTTGTAATGTAATTGCAAAAGTTACATTTTCTATTTTCTCTGAGTTCCTCTTGAACACTTCTCATTCAAACTTGACTTTAAACCCACGAACCTCTTATGTTTTACCCCTTCTTGTAGAAAAACACCCGTGCTCCCTGGAGGGAGGCCACCATCCCCGGCCACCTCAACTCCTACACCATCAGCGGGCTCCGTCCAGGCGTCACCTACGAGGGTCAGCTGATCAGCCTTCTGCGTTACGGACAGCGCGAGGTCACGCGCTTCGATTTCACGACCACTGTTGGCTCTTGTGAGTAAATTAGACCATCTGTGTTCTCTCAGTGTTGCAAATCTTGAGAAGTATTCACAAGATTTTTTTTTATCCCTTTGTCTGTTAAGTGGAAACATCGGAGGGAGAGACGACGCCGCCTCCTCCGGTGGTGGACACTTCTGAGTCAGTGACAGAAATCACCTCAAACAGCTTTGTGGTGTCCTGGACATCAGCTTCTTCTACCATCTCTGGCTTCAGGGTGGAGTATGAGCTCAGTGAGGAAGGAGCTAAGACAAAAGTACTGGGTAAGAGCTGAAAACCTTTATAATGAATGAATGAATGCCCTTTATTGTCATTATACAGTGTACAACAAGATTAGATGTATAATATATACATAATAATGCCTATTGATTAATTGGGTAGTTTCGATGTTGAGGTTCTTGCCATTGTATCATGTCTAAACTGCACAGCAAAATCATACTATACATAATATCTGGTATTATATGGATAACCTGTGACATGTATTCACTAACCTTTTGTTTGTTTCTCCAGATGTTCCTCGCAGCGCCACTTCCGTCACCATCGCTGATCTCCTACCAGGACGCAGATACAATGTCAGTGTTTATGAGCTCCCAGATCAGGGACAGCCAAACCTCATCCTGACCACCTCACAGACTACAGGTAGGAGAAACACTCTCCTCCTCCTGTCATGACAAATTTTATGCCATTTCTGCACCAGTTTTTACATTAATAACCTCCATTCTTCTTTTTCCACAGCTCCTGATACACCTTCTCAGCATACTGTTGATGACGTCGGAGAGACCTCAATCCGAATCAGCTGGTCCAAACCTCAGGCTCCTATTACTGGTAAGAAGCAACACGCTCTATGTGTGAAACTGTAACATTTGCTTCTTTTGTAGGTTTTAGCTACTTTTTCAATTTTGTTGCGCCCATGTATGTGATTTAAATTGAAATCTATTTTATTGTGTACCTGTAATGCTTGTGTCTGCAGGTTACCGTGTGGTTTACACACCATCAGTGGAAGGCAGCAGCACCGAGTTGACCCTGCCGGACTCTGAGACCTCGGTGACCTTGGCTGACCTTCGCCCTGGTCTGCGCTACAACATCAGCATCTATGCAGTGGAGGAGGACCTGGAGAGCGAGCCTATTTTTGTGCAGGTCAACACTGCTGGATCTTCTACACAAGGTAGACATCTTAAAACAGACTCTACATCTTAAACTGCAAAGCTAAAGTTAATGAAAACTGCTGCAAAAATTATATGATGTATAACTTTAAGATTTAGGTCCGTGCCAGGTTAGTCTTTTATTAAAACATTCACTGTATATTATTGCATTCTTTCGATGGTACAATATTCTTCTTAGATCATTCACTGCCTTTTGGCTCAGTGAGAGCTCAGCAGATTACGTTTATGCTTGCAGCTGGAGATTCCTTATAGGGCCAGGAAGCTTTAGAAAAAGGCCTTTCAGTGCTCAGTTAAGACCTAGCTTGTCAAAACATTGCTTTGTCAAAATATGCTTTAAAAGCTATAGCCATACCATTGTAATATTTTTTCTTGTGGCCCCTGAACGACCTCTGTAATGGACTGAGAAACAGACATCTCCTTAGACACTATTAAAAGACTTAGGAAGTCAGCACCCATATAGAAGCACACACACTTCATAAATCCTCAGTATATCTTAAATTGGAATCTCCATTTATGACTCTTTACTCCTTGTACCTGGCACGGCAAAAATGTACTAGAAAAACAAAACCAGATGCTGACACAAATGGCTCTGATTTTTCTTTACCTTTATTTGCTTTGGCCTTTCTCCTACGTGTTTCTGCTTTATCTAAGCCAAGATCTGTAAAAATCTCAGCCTGGAAATTGTTAAAGCATTTTATTGCTCTATTTTTCTTTTTTAAAGTTACTGAATTTTAGATGGTTTTATTGCTCTTTTAAAGTTAGCCATGCTTAATACTTGCACAGCTAGGTTAAAGGTCCTAATTTAAGGTTTTTACTGGAAACAAGATTAGATTTAGTTTCAGTGTTTCTCATCAAATCCCAACCACACTGTTACCATCTATGAGGCTTAACAAACATGTCAAATCCTCCAAATAAAATAGCAACCAACTCATAATTATATAGTTCCACAGCATTTCTACAACTCTCAAGGCTACTCTTAAGTCTGATTCTGACCCTTCAGTCAATGTATTCAATCAATGTATCCCTTCCTGTCCACAGAGGTTGTTCCAGCCCCAACAGACCTGCAGTTCTACGAGGTTTCAGATGTGAAGATCACCATCACCTGGACTGGTCCACCAAGCGAGGTGACAGGCTACAGAGTGATCTACTCCCCCCTTGGCTCCGACGGAGCTGAGCTGAGGCCCCTGCAGATGCCCATCTCACCCAACGCATACGCCGATATCACCCACCTGCAGCCCGGCACGCTCTACCGCTTCTACATCTACGCCATAAGTGGTGGAGTGGAGAGCGAGCCACTTGTGGGCGAGAAGACTACCAGTAAGCGCCATTATGGACAGCTGACACAGATCTAAAGGGATTGCATGAAAATATACAACAAAAGAGATGTTCTGCCTCACATGTGTCATATTCTCTGCCCCTCCAGAACCTGATGCACCCACAGACGTGCGCTTCACAGACATCGGCCACGACAACGCAATGGTCATATGGGAGGCTCCCCGTGCCATCGTCACCGGTTTCCGTCTCTTCCTGAGCATCGAAGGCTCTAGCCCTGTTGAGAAGAGGATCCCCGGCCGGGTCACCCAGTACCCCTTGAGGAACTTGCGTCCTGACACGCAGTACACTGCTACCCTGCACTCTGAGCTGGACAATGAGCTCAGCGAAGGCGTCACTACATATTTTACCACTGGTGAGTTTTAAGACAAGAACATCAGAGGAGAGTAGAATAAGTTGTTACAATCCTCGGAGCTTCAGTAGAAAATAACTGAACTTCTCTTTTAGGTTCTTGTTCTTGAGGATTACTTGTGACCTGCATGATTGAGAATCTTCACAGACAACTTGTTGCAATCAGTTTAACATATTTTTTTTCCCTATTCTGTCCTCTCAGCTCCCAAGATGGGAAATGCTCCAACTTTCAGCACTGAGGTTACTGATACCTCTATCATTGTCACCTGGATACCAATCCGCAGGTTCAGCTACAAGGTACAAACCTGCATCAGCTCATCAAATAAAATAATAACTTGATTTTACAGAGAGAAAAAAAAAGCTGTTTAAATAAAATTAAAGCTGCTACAATCAATATTATGTGAACGCTATGGTGCATCCAAGTGTTTTTACAGCAGTGTTACAGCCAGAATTGATCCACTGTCCACTACATGATCAGCCTCAAGAACATTTAACAAGTAGCTGGTAAACATAGTGGAGCATTTCAGAGCCAGATTTTCATTTTCTCAAGTGTTCATGGACAGCAACAAAAAGAACAAGTATATATTGAACGTACATTTTCTAGGTGGCCATGACTTTAAATGAATACTGTTTCTCTGTCTCCATTCGTTGTTTCACTGAGTAACAGTTCGATTAAATGTAATGTTTTTTTTGTAAATTTTAGGTCTTTGTTGTGGTATATTTTAAATGTATTTTCTAGGTTTTCTGATCTTCATGTGTCTATCTCCTTCTCCCCAGCTTTCTGTGCTTCCTAGTGAATCGGGCGAGTCTCCCAAAGAAGCCACCTCTGAATCTGGACGCGTTTATATCACCGATCTGAGTCCTGGAACTCAGTACACCTACAGCGTTCAGCCCATTTTCAATGGACGCAACCGCGGACAGCCCATCACCCGCAACGTCGTCACTTGTGCGTATCTATTTCACTTTACTTGAGACAAAAAGGCAAACAAAAGCCACTGCAAAATCTGATAACCGATCATAAGATTGTTAGATTTAATGCTGCCGTGAGCTCGCACAACACTGTTCAGACCATTTGCGATAAGTTTGTACAAGACACATCCAGTCCGATTTTCATGCGTCATGCTTTGGCTCTCTCTACTTGCAGCCTTGTCTCCTCCCACTGACCTCAGAGTGGAGTCCAACCCCAACACAGGAGATCTCACAGTCCACTGGGTAGCCTCCAGAACACCAGGTAAATATTGACTGTGCTCCCCACGCACTGCCAGCCCATTGGATCATGCCAAGTCTAGACCTTGGCCCCCATATGGTAGCTTTTTTTCACCATGACAAACGTCTCTTCCCGGTATTTCCTTGTCATTTTTCAAACTGACTCACAAATTACAAAAAACCTCTTGACATAATGTTCCTCCGTGTTTTTCGCCCACTCGCTGCAGGTATCACAGGCTACAGAGTGACAAGCACGCCAAACAGTGGCCAGAGAGGAAATTCCCTGGAGGAGTTTGTTCGAGCTGATCAGAACTCATGTGTACTGGAGAACCTGAATCTGGGTGTCGAGTACAACGTCAGCGTGTTCACTACCAAGGGCCATTTGGAAAGTTTGCCTGTGTCCACCATTGTCACACCAGGTAGGAGCTTCCAGGAGGGCATTTATACATTTTAACAGGCATCAAGCACACAGCTGTGTCCACAGAAAAGACCAAAGTGTCTGGCTCAGAGGGAGGAGTGAAAGAATTCACCATTAAAGGCTGGGTTTAAGTCAAACTGGAGCCAACTCAAATATTTTCACCTCTTGTAAATAATATTTTCCCACCCTTACAATGCTTGGCCTAGTTTCAAAAGAAACTAAAGCTGCATTAGTTGATTTTTGGCCCAGAGGGAGAAGAATAATTACACAATGAGCTACCAGAGTCTGAGATGTTGTCTTGTAAAGTTGTTACAGCTCATAAGCTGGCAAGGAATTGCATACGTGTACATTCAGCTGAGACAAAACAATATTATGATTCCACTGACACTGTGGTTCTCGCAACCTCAATAATACAGGTCTAATACTCACCGTCCTTTTGGCTCTGTTTTGGTTTCCACCAACTGCAAAGAAAATATCTGACCCTTTAGTTAGATTGTCAGCTGTTTTCTATTGGGCAGGTAAAGACTAAAAAGCTTAGAGCAACTGCAGAGCTGGGGGCTGATTCTCTGTGGTGTCATGACTATTATTATATGGGTTAAATATAGAAATTTCTAATGCAGCTTACATTACCATAATCCACTACTAACATGGTGATTGGTTAGCCTACCATTTGCATGGAGATCATGTTCATTACTGGTGAAGGTGATATTTTTCTAGCATGCCATCAGTAGTATTAATCATTGCTTGAGATTTACCCTTAATTATCATGTTCATTCTGAATGTCTTTCAGCAATAATGTGTAATTATCTAGCATGGCTACTGTTACACTCTGGTGCTCTGGATGCTTAATTGGGAATGGAGTTAATGTTCTTGCAATGTAATTATTCTGCCTTTTCTGTCTCTAATTTTGCTTGCGCATTGCAACTGGCCTAACCCTTTCAGAAATCCCCCCACCAAGTCACATTGACTTTGTCGACATTACTGACACCACCATCGGTCTGCGCTGGATCCCTCTGAAATATACCACCATTACTGGTTACCGGATAACAGTAGTAACGTCAGGCGAGAGCATGCCAATTTTTCAAGATATGGTGGAAGCGTCTGCTGGTTATTACACGATTTACGGTTTGGAGCCGGGCGTCGACTATGACATCAGTATCACCACTGTTACAGAAGACGGAGACAGCGAGCCGACCACACACACAAAGCAAACACAAGCTGGTGATTTAATTCTTTCACTTCATCAGTGGGGAGGGGTTGGGGGTTTGATCTGAGAGAACTGATGAAAGCATATTTAATGTCCTTTTATTAAAACATCACACATCACAGTAAATTTGGGAATTTTCTCACACCAATGATATTTCATTCATGACATTGTAAATATACTTTTATTTGATGAACATCTTTGTTTTTCCAGTGTTAGCAATAACTCTATAACCCCGTCTTCCAGCCATCCCAGTTCCCACCAATCTGCAATTCGGAGGGGTGGGTCCTGACCACATTAGGGTGACATGGACGGTCCCCAATGTTGCCACACCAAGCGACATCTCTCGCTTTGTCATCCGTTACCACCCTGTAGCCACAGATGATGACGTCAAGGAGGTTAATGTTGGCGGAGCTACCAACACCTTCCTGCTGCAGAGTAAGTCAGCCTCAAGCCTGTTAAAGAATGCCTGATAGGCTTTAACTTTTGCTTTTCCATGTCAAGTCATTCTAACTGTGTATCTCACCGTTTCTTTAAAGATCTGCTGCCCAACACTGAGTACCGTATTAGTGTTGTGTGCGTGTACGGTGAACGAGAAAGTGAACCAGCCACAGGGACTCAGAAGACAAGTGAGTATGATAGAGGGACTGATTGTACCACAAGACTTGTTCAAGTACATTTTAAATGTTTAATCACATAAAAAATATATATGTATTTATATGAACTATAGTATTTTTAAATATATGAAAACAGAAGACAGAAGAACAAAAAATTGCAAATCACCATATTAAAAACCTTCATAATGCAGTTATGCCTCAGTGACGATAACGTGATCAATTTGCTTTTGAACACAACAAAATAACAAAACCTGATTATTTCAGTGAACGGTATCTATACACAACTAAAATGCAAACTTCTTTTAATACTTTATTTTACAGTCTATTTAGCGGTAGACCTACATATTAGACAGTATGTTTGATTTACATTAATGTTTGTTCATGCATGTGAAAGATTTTAAATTCATTTGATTTGTTCTGTTTATTAAGAGAATCTTGTGAGATTTACATGGTGTCATGTATGCATGCTTTCTAGGGAGGAGAGATTGGTGTCATTTGTGGAGGTGATTTTGTATTTGCCATTATTTTTGCATTTAACTAAAAAGTCATATTAATTTTCAATACCTTTTCTATCAGCTCTGGATGCCCCGACTGGCTTGGACTTCTCTGACATCCGGACCAACTCCTTCACCGTTCACTGGCTGGCTCCAACTGCTGTGATCACCGGCTATCGAATCCGCTATCAGAAGACGAGCGGTGGGCGGGCAATGGATGAGAGGCTTCCCCCAACCAGGAACCACTTCACCTTGACTGGACTAACACCCGAAACCGAATATCTGATATATGTGTACGCTGTGAACAACAACCAGGAGAGTCAGCCTCTGACTGGCACACAGGCCACCAGTGAGTTTCCACACTGGTTTCTACTATCACTTGCTGAGTCTTGATTATGACTATTTGTTTTCAGAGATTTTTTTTATTATAATGAACCTCTTTCCTGTCTTCTCCTCTTCTAATCCTTTCCAGTCTCTGATGCGCCCACCGACCTGGAGGTATCATCATCCACCCCCACCAGCATCACAATTCGCTGGGACGCTCCCTCTGTCACCGTGAAGAACTACAGGATCACCTATGGAACAAGTCTGTACCTGTCTGTTAATTCATAGTTTCCTCTAAACTGCAGCCACGTTCTGAGTTTAACATGAGTTGCTGTTTTTCTAGGTGGTGAGGCTCTGCAAGAGTTTTCAATCCCAGGCACTCAGACCTACGCCACCATCACCGGACTGAAGCCCGGTACCGACTACACCATCACAGTCTATGCTGTTTCTGGACGAGGAGACAGCCCCGCCTCCAACACTCCTGTCTACATAACACACAGAACTGGTACAGCAATGAGAAAAAAAAGAAATTCTTGAAAAAAAAAAGTAACTGTTGAGGAGTTATAGTAAATCTACAGCTTGCCTTGCGTCTGTCTCTCCTTTAGATACTGAGCCCCCCACTGACATGAAGCTGACTGATGTGAGTGACAACGCCATCACAGTGCGCTGGACTCCTGCTCAGGGACCAGTCAGAGGCTACAGAATCACAAGCGTCCCTAAGAATGGCTTGGGACCTTCGTACTCTGAGGTGGTGGCTCCCGGTAAGACAGGCCGGAAAAAACAGCAGCTGTTCCGATACATACTCACGTCTTCATTTTACAATATTTTCCCAGTGCTATGTTGTCTTCTCACTGGTTCCTCGTCTGCTCCTCTGTTGTTACAGATCAGACACAGATGACGTTCACAGGTCTGATGCCCACTGTTGAGTATGTTGTGAGCGTTTATGCTCTGGGCAATGATGGACAACCCTCTTCCCCCGTGGTGGAGAATGCTGTCACTGGTTAGTTTGACTCAATTCATTTGAAACTGATTCAAGAAAGGTTCAACTGTGGACTGTTTTGGTACAAATGTGCATTACATTCACTTTAGTAGCTGGATAACAGCTATCTTTCCACTGTAACTATATATATATATATATGTTTTTTTAGGAATTCTGTGCTCAAAGAATGCCAGATCATGTTTGACAAAATAATTAACGGCAAACAGATTAGTTAAGAAAAATCATTTAAAGACGCAAAACAAGTTTTAGTCACACAGACAAATATGATATATCCTAAATGCACGTTAGCATTTAAAAATACCAAAACAATTTGCATACCTACCTGCAATAAAGGTGATATACAGCATATTTATATTATCTTTGTATATCAAAGTATATTAGCTATAATAATATACTGTTTACGAGACAAAGCAGTTCCTGGAGAGGACTCAGGCAATGGTTGGATGGTTTAAACTTTTTCTTGCCAGCGGATAAATTATTTAAAGTTTATTTATGTAATATCAATTATTTCAAATGCCTTGACAGCAATCATTCATCTCTGACCATGTTTGCTGCTGTTCATGTCACAAACTGGCTGATTTTTGGCAGATCTCGGACCAAGGGTTCTGCTACTAAATCCAGTATGACTACCAGAGTGACTCACAGCATTTGAGATAAAATATATCTCAAGTGTTGCTGTCAGATATCTTTATAGCCTTAGAAATGTAGAGCAGAATAGAATACGCTGTCTTGCTCCTTTCCTGCAGCTATGGACCGTCCAAAAGAACTGAGCTTCTCCGACATCGACTCCACCTCCATGCGCATCACCTGGGATAGTCCAGACGGCACCGTGACATCGTACCGCATCTTTTACTCCAGCTCAGAAGAAGGCGAGAGAGAGTTGCGTCCAGCACCCAGAGGCGACCAGGACAGTGTGTTGCTGAGCGGCCTTCGTCCCGGGACCGAGTACACTGTTAAAGTCATTGCCCTCCATGACCGAACGCCCAGCACACCCTTAGTGGGAACCCAGGCCACAGGTAGAAATACACAGAATACATCACCACATTCACGTCTCAGTTAAAAGTCAGTGTTTCAATTTTTTTTTTTGCTTGCAATCTCTCTGTCTCAGTGATCCCTGCTCCGACCAACCTGATGATCTCAGAAGTCGGCCCTTCTGTCTTCACCGTGTCCTGGCGAGCACCAAATGCACGTCTGAGCGGCTATCGTGTCGTCATCACCCCAAAGAACATCAACAGCCCTCGCAAAGAAATGAATGTTGCTCCGGACACCACACGTGTTGTCGTACCAGGGCTCATGGTAAACAGAGTTCTTGTCTCAGCATAAACATGAATTCATCATAAGTCAGAGTAAATATCAGGTGTATGTGATGCCTGTTTTATAGGTGGCAACCACGTACCAGATTCAGGTCTACGCTCTGAAGAACTCCGTCACCAGCAGACCACTGGAGGGAGAAACAACCACACTGGAAGGTAACTGGCCACATCGTAAATGGACACATTTCCAGCCATCCCCAGTTCTTTGCTTAACAGTTTTGTGTCGTTTTCCTCAACGCAGACGTGAGCCCACCTCGACGTGTGCGTATCTCTGATGTGAAGGATACTTCTTTCACGCTTACCTGGCGCACCAAGGTGGAAACTATCACTGGTTTCCTCCTTGAAGCAACGCCGCTCAGTCGCTCGCATCCCACCATCACCAAGACCATCCCATCAGGAGCATACACCTACACTCTCACAGGTACACCACACCTTCATGCTGAACAGACCTTTAGGCATATTTACAGATTTCAGATTTTCCTCACAGTGTGTGTTTTTTTTAAAGGTCTGCAGCCCGGAACCATGTACTCCGCCAACCTGTACACTCTGAACGGCAACACAAAGAGCGCCCCGATTACTCTGACAATTCAAACAGGTACAATACAAACTGTGTCTGATCTTTCTGTTTTGCTGGAAAAACTTTAGGTTTTTTACATATTGAGAAATATTGAGGTAAATGTAGCTGCTGGAGTTTGTCCTGATCATTGCACACAATAGTGTTGTGAACAGACAAAAGTTAGGAAAGGTAAATTAACCTTTTCTTCAAATACAGACAAGGTAGAACAATGCACTCTGGTCTTGAAGGGGAACTCCACTGACTTTACACATCACAGTCTGCTTGCAGGTCTTAGCTGTATAAAAAAAAAAAAAAAAGTTGCATAAAGTGTTTCTTTTTTCTGCAGAAGAGAGTTCCAGTTGAAGTTACCTCACATGATTGCTTAAAAGATGACTATAAAGCTAGAGTTAGAAAGAACTGAGGTTTCTGTAGCCCACTCTTATTGTCTGCTTGAGAATAGTCACTCGAGATTACGTCACCTGAATGACTGACTGATCTGTCACCTATTCATTTGCATTGTGGACAATATAGGCAGCAGGTTTTACAAGTAACGTATCTGATTCTGCTCAGTTGAATTAGCCTTTCAAAAACTTTAATTCGTGGTCAGGCTAAAGTGTGTAAAGTGTTCCAGGAGATTTTTTGTTATCTTTGTTGAAAATAGATTAAGCAGTCAATAAATCAAGTGTTTTAATATTAAAAAGAAAAGAAAAAAAAAGCTTTATCTGTGGCAGTCACAGGCCTGTAAAAAACCTTTCCCAATCAATTTGTATGAAATGACTGGATGGCCTCCCTGCCTGTCTAACTATGTACTTGGATGGGTTTTTGCAGTTGTGTGCCTTTAACCTTCAGCTTATTCTTCTTGCTACGATCTTGCTACTCTAGCTTTAACACTAATAGAGCTATACAAATGCAAATATAAACTGCAGCATTTCTCTTGAGTTGAACTGAGCTGACCTATGCAGCTGTAGCCTTGCACCAATCACAAGCACAACCTTACAACACACACACAGATGCAACAAACAATCTAACACGATATTTTCCCTTTACAGCTGAACCAGTTGTCCAGGCTCCCACCAGCCTCCAGGTCACATCTTTGACCCCCACCTCCATCTCCTTTACCTGGCAGCCCCCTGCCACACAAATCACAGGATACTACGTCACCTACGAAGAGTCAGGAAGACCACCACGGGAGCTCATCCCAAGACCCCACGCCGGGCAAAACTACGCCACAATATCTGGTATGTGTGTGCCAGCCGGTCCATTTTCATTGCAAACAATACTGTCACATGGCATTTATCACCAAAATAACCATTTTTTACTGAATGAAACTCAATTCAATCTGCTTCCATTATATGATCATTTTTCCTCTGTTCAGGCTTGAAACCAGCCACAGAGTACATCATCAAGATCATCGCCATCCAGAACACACAGAGGAGCACGCCTCTGGTGGGCAAGATCAGGACTCGTGAGTATTTTAAGATTTCTGTTGTCCAAAAGTGATGCATCCAAGTGATGTAACAAAAGTGCCAAAATAAGGAGTTTATAGGTAAACCTCATATAAAATGTTAAAGGTTTGAATGGCAGCTTATGTCTGCTCAGCTGCATCAAACGTTTTGCTGTAGCAGCTCAATAGCCTTGAGACAAGCTGTGCAGTTGATCAGCATTAGACTCCTAAAACAATAATACCCCTTTTTATTTTGAATGTCATTACAAATGTCATTCAAAATATCTTGTGTGTTTGTAATGCTGCATTATGACACACTTTGCAATGAGGTGGCACCCCAGCAATCTTGCATATTTGTCGCCTCCTGTTGGCTGTGATACGGTAGAGCAGCTCTGCTTGAGCTCCCCCTCCTCTAACCTGCTTGCTTCCCTAACCCCTCTCGCCCAGAACCAGACTCCTTGCTTCCCCTGCCTCTGCCCCAGCCACACCGCCCAGGAGGTGCTGATGACAGGCTGGACGTGCCCGAACTTGACTTGGACAACAGAGTCCAGGTAGTGGGCACCAATAGCCAGGATGGCTTTGGAGATCAGAGCCAGCATGTGGAGTACACAGAGTACAACAACAATGGAGACAACAGCAGATATAATGGGAACCGTGGAAACCCACAGTCTCCCTATGGGCAAGTTCGTGAGCCCTTGGTCTTTGTACCCCTTCCTGATGCAGAGGGCCGCAGGCAGCCCATTCTGAAGCTGAACTTTCCCATCGGAGCTACATTAGGTAACGACACTGGAGTGCCACAGGAGGTCCAAACTCAGACCAGCATCTCCTGGAAGCCTTACAGTCAGAGCAACGCCTACCTGGTGTCCTGCCATCCTCTCACAGAGCTCAATGAGAAGATGTTCCAGGTAAGAGATGAGGCCCGTTGTTTCTACACCAGTCCATCATGCTGTCTGTACCGTATTTACCAGTTCCAATATACAAATCTTGTCTCTCCCTATCTGTCCAGATCCGGCTGCCAGGCACAGCCACCACTGCTACCCTGATAGGACTCACCCCCGGAGCAAACTACAATGTGATCGTGGAGGCACTGCTGGGGGCGCTGAAGCACAAGATTCTGGAGCAGGTCGTCACAGCTGGAAACTCAAGTAAGCATCCTACAGCAACTGTTGTGTCCAAACTAGACCAAACAATGTCAGAAATTAATGTAGAGCAGCTCCTGCTAATGGCACATGTATGCAGCAGTATGGAAACTGCACCAGATGTAAACCTCCACATTTGAAGCACTTGGTGACTTCAGGATTTTCTCAAAACGCATCCCATCGATCAGTGGAGACCAGAAATTTAAAAAAACAAAAACTGACCTTTATTATTTTTACCTGATAATATGAAACTTCATATTTTTAATGCAACCTCAGATCAAACTCCACATTTTAAATATTCTATATTTGAAAACATTTATGAATCAGTTCAGTAACACCCTCGTGTCATATTTGGCCCTCTGTTGCTCAAAATTCTGTTCTCCAACAGAAATACAGTTATTTACAAAATAATGCCAATTGTGCCGACTGAACCTCTTACCCTAATTTCAAATTCTTTACTTTTAATCTTGCTGGGTTTTCAGTGAATACACTGATAAATTACATTTTACAATTCAATTCGTCCCCTTAGACATATGAAACTAATGAAAAAAGTGACTAAATCACAAAGATCATGACAAAACATTTTGATCTTCAATTAACTAGAAGCTTACATAAATCTCATGTTTTTCCCCGTCCATCTGTTTTCAGTCTCAGAGGGAGTTCCCTCCAATAAGGACTCATGCTACGATGCCTTTACCTCAACCTACCATGACGTTGGTGCTGAATGGGAGCGGATGTCTGAGACTGGCTTCAAGCTGTGGTGCAGGTGTCTCGGCCTGGGCAGCGGCCACTTCAGATGTGATTCATCCAGTAGGTTTTTCGGTTATTTTTTTTCCCTGGAGTCCACGAGCATATTTTGAATTTGAATGTATTTAATTTGGTCTCCCTGTTGTTTTGTCAGAGTGGTGCCATGACAGTGGTAACAACTATCGCATTGGAGAGAAGTGGGACCGTCGCGCTGAGAATGGTCACTTGATGAGCTGCACTTGCTTGGGAAATGGCAAAGGAGAGTTCAAGTGTGAACCACGTAAGGCCTCTTTAGTACCCAAAGAAGTACTCCATAGCTGTCTGTCAAAGTTGAAGAGTTGCATGTAAATGTTATTGTGTACTTGCACAGATGAGTCCGTGTGCTACGATGATGGCAAAACCTATCAAGTAGGCAACCAGTGGCAGAAGGAGTATCTGGGTGCTATCTGCACCTGCTCATGCTTTGGAGGACAACAGGTGAGACACATCAGCCTCCCTGGTTTCAGTGTGCATCATTTGTATTCACTGCATTAAATAAAACATGATTGAATGTATGTTTTGTCTCATCAGGGCTGGCGATGTGAGAACTGTCGCAGACCAGGTGCTGATGTTGACGCCAGTCTGCTGCAGCCTGTTAGATATGGAGACAACACACTACGCAAAGTAAGTGAAATTAATATGAATACAGAATCATTTACATGTTTAATTGTCCTGTTTCGATGGTCAAGTTGTTTTTTCCAAGATCAAACAGATCAAATGAAATGATATTCTTCAAACCCACTCATTCTTGCATATGAAAATTTCAATAAATACAGAAATTCCAGTCCTAACCCTTCAAATCTTCCCACTCTCACAGAAAATTCATTGCCCCATTGAGTGCCTTCGACCTGACCTGCTGGCAGATGCACATGTTCCTCAAAATTCCCGGGAATAAAGGATAGTCATCGGCATCTGCTTTGCTCACCCACTGTCCATTTGCTGCACTGTTTCACCTTGTAGAAGCCACGCTGTCTGTGACTCAAATGAACTAACTGCCTTATCACTTTTCTGACACACGTTTATAAGTTACACTGCCCTGCTGCCCGATCAGTCCTGATCGTTTTCTAAAGCCAGTCTTTTCACTGTTGACTGCTAAATTTGGAATTTATTCAAAAAGGAAAACTCCTGCCGAACCTTTTCTTCTACGTACTTGTGTGTGAGCCTCAATGGAAGTTATTTAGAACTTTGTATACTTGTCAAATTGGCATTTGTTTTCCATTTAGATATTTCGAAACATCTCCTAATTGAAAAACAGAACTGTCAGAAAGGAAGCACTGTATTAAAGAATGTCAACGTAGTTATTAACAATGTTTAAACTGTCCATGGAAATGGGTTTTTCCTGTTCTGTAGCCCTTTTTTCATTACTAAGGGTCTGCACTGTGCGTGATTGACACATTCTGACTTGTAATGTCTTTTTACTAATTTATCCCTTTAATCTCAACGTGTGAATGTGTGAACTAGGATGTGAGAATGTGAACTGTTCTATTTTTGTACTTTGTTGTCGATGCCAAAGTTGTTTCTACCTTTGACAAAAAGAAGTCCCTTATTTTAATAAAGCTGGAGAGATTCCGAATCCTAACCAAAGTGTTGGGTTTTTTGTAACTCAGATTGGAGTTGTTGTCCAGTTTTGCATTATATACCTTTTTTAGCAAGTTATAAACTTCAACATCCATCTCTCAACTCTTGCTGGATATCTTTGCTTCATGTTGTTCCCCATCTTTTGACTGTTTGCTGAAATAAAAACACAACTTTGACTTAGTCAACTAAATTAATTAATTAAGACAAAACAGACGAGAAAGCATTTTAAAGCAGATAAGTAGAAATTTTAGGGGGCAGCTACAATTCAGTTTCCTTAATTTAAAATTGATAATGTTTAAAAAGCAATCTTGTGATTGTTTGAAATTAAATCATTTAAAAAAAAAAAAAACAATAATATTGTATTAATTTATAATAGTTAAATTACAATAAATGTAAGTGGTCTGCACTTCTATAGCGCTTTTCAATGTTTTCTCATTCATCCACTCATTCATACACCAATGGTGACACATTGCCATGCAAGGTGTCTGCCTGCCTGCCATTGGGAACAACTTTTGGGTTCAGTGTCTTGCCCAAGGACACTGAACCCACTCCGCCACCTGAGCCACAGTCGCCCTAAAATTATAAAATTATCATTTTAACTGATATGACAGAAGATGAAGGACATGCATGTCAAATATACTGTGGATTAGCTGTAGAACCTGGATGCACCACCAGGTAGAGCCTTTTACTATTCCGAGATGGAAAAGTGCAGTTTATTGCTGTAATCCTGTGAAAACCTCAACAAGTGGTCACTCAGATTATGGACAGTTTGTGCTAGCAGACAGAAAGCATTGTGGGGGTTTAGCTGGCAACATGCCAAAGCCTTCTGTTGTGGTTAAGGACTCTCATATACTCCCAATAGTAATTGAGCTGATGGTTGTTCTGGCTGGGAAGTTAGAGGATCAAAAAGTGACTGAAATTGTTCCTCAGTGATTATGCAACATCAGGTGGCAAGACATCTAAAAGTGTATGACGTACTGGATTTCATTAAAGTGTTTTAAAACATTACTTTTTCAAGTCATGGTGGTGATAGAGAAAACTGCTTCTGGGGACCAGAAATAACTACACATTTTCAGAGTAATCCCAAGTAGTTGGTGAGACAGTGCAGTATAAATTAAAGCAGTAAACAAATTGACCAACACTTCTGCATTCAGAGCCAAACATACAGTACAGTAAAAAAAAAAAAAACAGACAAATTACTTATGAACCATCGTTAACCATTTATTTGACCCAGAATTTGCATCAACAGTAACAGTATCACTTTCTAATGTTAGTACCACAAGTTAGGAATGCAATTCGTGCGTTACAAAATAGTGCCTTTGTGATATCTACACTTAAGTGTGATGAGGGCAGGAATGCTAAAGTATCAGGAATGTTAGAATTCTTTTCCCTCTAATGATGCATAGCAGTGAGTGAGATGATCTTAGTGGTGGAAGAGCCGCAGGTTGGTGTGCACCAGAGTGATGCCCTGCTCATTGCAGGCGTTAATCACAACCTCGTCAGCAGCAGAACCCGCCGGAGCTGCAATGTACTCAACACCGCTCTACAGACACACAGAGAGGGAGGAAAAGTGAGTAAAGATGGTTAGAAAGAGTCAGAATTGACAAAATGTGATGTGGGGGCTCTCCTGCATGCCAAAAGGTTACACCTGCATTCCCGTGCAATTTATTGTGAGAAGTACATGGACACGTGCTTCGAGTGAGGTTTGGGATATTTACCCGTTTGGCACGATCTATGTTATCTCTGAAGGGGAAGAAGGCGTCAGAGCTGACAGCCACAGCCTGCATGGAGCTGATCCAGTTCTTCTTCTCAGTCCCTGAAAGCAGCTCGGGCACCTCTTCATACATCGACTTCCAAACTGCCAAGTCTGGGCCCTGCCAGCACAAAACAGACACAATACAAGGATTTTCATTGATCTTAAACTTGGTGTGCTTTGTTACGAGATGTGGAATTAAACATCTGACATAAAGATATTCAGTGAAATGGCACGCAGTTATTGCCAAGGTAGTGTGGCACTGACCTCAGCTACAAACATACAACAAATTACACTTATTTACTAAATATGATTCTTATTTCTCTGTATCTTTATGTTTTGTTTCCCCAAGTATAAATATGCAATGGGACATTTCCTGGTCTGAATTTAACGTTTTTGTGCTGAAAATCTACAAAACACAGTATGTGTAATGTGTTGCAAAAAATCTTTTTCTGGGCTCTAAGTGACTCATCAATTCTCCACTGTATCTGCAAAACATTACTTCTAAAAAAAAAAAATGGATTTAATTTTCAAACTTTGCGTGTGCACAGCAAAATTAAAGTATTATATTTAAAACAAACACAGATACTATTTTTTTTGTGCCACAGAAAGTATTGCATCCACATTATCAGAAAATTACTTATCTCATGTTTTGTGACAACAGAATATGATCTAGTAGCTGCAACCTGCATGAAAGCCGCAGATTTCTCTCTTTTGCTTTTTTGCATTTCAGATGCAGTGTGACACGTGCATACATTTCCCAAGACTTGCATATTTAAACGCAAGAGTTGCCACTAGGGCTTAGGTTAACGATTCTTTACAATATTATTTTCTTGACTAATCAGTTCATTGTTTTGGTCTATAAAATGTCAAGAAATGTTGAAAAATGCCAATCACCATTACTAAAATCCTAATATTACGTCCTCAAATTCAATTCAATTTTATTTGTGTAGCGCATATTTACAACAAGTCATCTCATAGCGCTTAACAAGGCAGAAACACCTGACAATCCAAAACATTTGGATTCCCTATAAGCTTCAGCAGTCCACAAGCAGTCCGCAACAGTGGGAAGGAACCGAAAACCCCCGCGGGGGAAAAAAAAAACATCCGACAGAACCAGGCTCAGGGAGGGACGGCCATCTGCCTCGACCGGTTGGGTGAGAGTGGGATGAATGCTCAGATAATGATATTCAGTTTACTGTCACGGAGGAGGAAAGGAATCAGAAAATGTTTAGATTTTAGAAGCTGGAATCGGAGAATTTTCATTTTTTGTTAAAATATATTCAAGCTGACTGAGCCATTATCTGAACTAACAATTGATTTGTTGTCAACTATTAAATTAATCACTGATTTAATAGCCAACAACAAATCAATTCATGGTGGCAGTGTTATTGGCCAAATGCAAAATAACCCATACAGACGTCAACAGAATGGAATATTCATTCTCTAAAACAAACAAACAAACAAAAAAACCCATACCTGTAAGTTAGAAGCTCTAATTATAATCAAACGTCTACTTAAGCTTTAACGCAGTTTTGTACGTTGACCGTTTTTATTCCCTCACCTCGCCAATGGTGTCGCTGACATACTGGTCGATTGCGTTGGCCATCTCCGCTCGCTTCACACCGCTGCGAAACTTCATGTTGAGGACACAAGGGTGGTGTCTGAGCCACCAGTTATCAGCTTTGTCACCCGCCAGTCGTGTGCAGTGGATGCGAGACTGCTGACCGGCGCCGATACCAATAACCTGCAAAATACAGACGAGAGAAAACCTTACAGAAAAGTTATGGCTCATCTAGACTCCTTCGTCCACTTTTTAATCGACCTCTTCTCACCTGTCCGTCTTTAGCGTAGCACACAGAGTTGGACTGAGTGTACTTGACAGCGATGGTGGCCACAGTGAGGTCACGCACGGCTTCCTCGGAGAGCTTTTGGACACAAACAAGAAAAGGGTTAACACTAGTCATTCAGATCGGACTGTGTCAATTATGAAAGGTGCAAGTAATTAGTAAATACACAACAGCAACTCACAGAGCCCTTAGAAACGACATTGCTGAAGAATTTCTTATCGATAAGCCCTCCGTTCCTCTTTTGCTTGAGGTAGAGACCAAACAACACTCTCACCTCAGCGTCATCAGGCTCGTAGTCTGGATCCATCTGGGAGGAAGACGTACAGTCAAAAACAGCAAATAAACCATGACGTGAACTCTAGTTTTAGTTAATGTTTGGTAAATGCAAAAGTCCTTGCTGTTTTTTTTGGTTTTTTTTTAATAAAAAAAACTTTTTTTTAAAAAAAATTCTCACCTCTGTTGCCACATTTAGTGTCAACTTGTTGCTTTTTCTTCAACTGGGCAAGAAAAACTGGGTTTTGTCTAGGTAGTTGTGATTTAGGTTTATTGCTGCATTATAAAGGAAAGCTTCCAATTAACAAAAAATGAGGCCATATTCCAGAAGTTAACACTAAAGACATGGAGGGAGATTAGACCTACAAAGGTATTATAAAACCATTAGCATCAGACTGCCAAAATCTGTGAGGAAAAAAAAGGCTGCAAACATGATACACATATTTTTAAATAGACACTATTATTTCTGATGTCTGTTGTACAGAAACCTGCACAAAAAATAAATTAAAAACGCTCCTTAGGCTCCTTATAGCTGCAGAACTTGCCTACCAATCATCACAGTTTAAATCAGTGTAGTTAATCCAAATATATGCTGGAGACAAGAACTCTTTGTAGAGAATGTGCCATACTATTTTTTCAAAATGTATAAGAAAGTCTTGTTTTTTTTTTTTAATGACACGTGGGTGTGTTCTAGGCTCCGTTTCAGTCAAGTGTGGCAACACTGCTCTTACCTGAAGCACGCAGTAGTTGCCGTTCTTCTTTTTGGAGAGGATTTTCAGCGCCTCCTCATCGTAACCAGGAGCAATGATTCCATCCGATACCTGAGAACAATCAGGTTGAGTAACAGTTAAGCAAAACAATATCACCTAAAACATTCCTTTCCTCCGTATTTGCCCTTTACCTCTCTTGATATGATCCTGGCAGTGGGAACGTCACACACATCGGACAAAGCGATGAAATCTCCAAAAGAAGACATTCTGTCTGAACCTGCAGATGTAGTGAAAGACAGAAGTTAATTCTATTTAACAACAAATTTCTATTTTTTAAAAAAAGATCAGGATACAAAATAATTCAGGTTGTCTAGTGTATTATTCAGTGTTTTCTACCTCTTGCCCTTGCATAGGC